TATATGCCACTGAAGCCAGTCTGCCACACCCACGACATCACGTATATGCCACTGAAGCCAGTCTGCAACACACACGACATCACGTATATGCCACTGGAGCCAGTCTGCAACACACACGACATCACGTATATGCCACTGAAGCCAGTCTGCCACACACACGACATCACGTATATGCCACTGGAGCCAGTCTGCAACACACACGACATCACGTATATGCCACTGGAGCCAGTCTGCAACACACACGACATCACGTATATGCCACTGAAGCCAGTCTGCCACACACACGACATCACGTATATGCCACTGGAGCCAGTCTGCCACACACACGACATCACGTATATGCCACTGAAGCCAGTCTGCAACACACACGACATCACGTATATGCCACTGAAGCCAGTCTGCAACACACACGACATCACGTATACACCACTGAAATCCCTGGTCATCGCAAGAGATCCAAACAACGGAGTGCATATGCCGCATAGCACAGGATCACGTGGGACATCCTAATGCCACATAGCACAGGATCACGTGGGACATCCATATGCCGCATAGCACAGGATCACGTGGGACATCCTAATGCAACATAGCACAGGACACGTGGGACATCCTAATGCCACATAGCACAGGATCACGTGGGACATCCTAATGCAACATAGCACAGGACACGTGGGACATCCATATGCTGCATAGCACAGGATCACGTGGGACATCCTAATGCCACATAGCACAGGATCACGTGGGACATCCTAATGCCACATAGCACAGGATTACGTGGTACATCCATATGCCGCATAGCACAGGATCACGTGGGACATCCTAATGCCACATAGCACAGGATCACGTGGGACATCCTAATGCCGCATAGCACAGGATCACGTGGGACATCCTAATGGCAGATATACGTTAAGATGGAAAATGATGGGAGTGATGATGTGGGAAGGATTGGAGAGAGGATTTGGGGAGGATTGGAGAGTGATTGTGGGAAGGATTTGAGAGGGGATGTGGGGAGGATTGGAGAGGGTATGTGGGAAGGATTTGAGAGGGGATGTGGGGAGGATTGGAGAGGGTATGTGGGAAGGATTGGGGAGGGGATGTGGGGAGGATTGGAGAGGGTATGTGGGAAGGATTTGAGAGGGGATGTGGGGAGGATTGGAGAGGGTATGTGGGAAGGATTGGGGAGGGGATGTGGGGAGGATTGGAGAGGGTATGTGGTAAGGATTGGAAAGAGGATGTGGGAAGGATTGGAAAGAGGATGTGGGAAGGATTGGAGAGGATGTTGGAAGGATTGGAAAGAGGATGAGGGAAGGATTGGAGAGGATTGGAGGGGTGAAGGGTTGGAGGAGTGAGGGATTGGAGAGAGGATGTGGGAAGGATTTGAGAGAGGATGTGCGGTGGATTGAAGAGAGGATGTTAGAGAGATTGGTGAGGTAGGGAATGTGTGAAGGATTGGAGAGGGGACGTTGGAGAGATTGTTGAGGGGATGTTTGGAGGATTGGAGAGATTTGAGAGAGGATGTTAGAGAGATTGGAGAGTGTACGTGGGTGGATTGGAGAGGGGATGTAAGGAGGATTGGAGAGGGGATGTGGTTAGGATTGGAGAGGGAAGGATTGGGAAGGATGGGATGTATGTATGTATGTATGTATGTATGTATGTATGTATGTATGTATGTATGTATGTATGTATGTATGTATGTATGTATATACACACACACACATATATATATATATATATATATATATATATATATATATATATATATATATATATTCAGTGTGAATGGCTCCAACGAAACATATCATGTTTGTTGGTGTGAAACTGTACACCTCTAAACTAAATCTGCACTGCTGAACTCGAGTCCTGTGGAATGTTCAGATAGACAACCTTAGATTCAGCTATGTAAGCGTTGTAAGATGTGTATATTAGGTAACATAACATACTTTTTTTCGATTCGCTGTCGGGATACAGAGACACTTAGTGTTGTGACATGCACAACACAGCGCTTCTTCACATCATTCACACACCTGTACACCGACACCAACCACATGCACACACACGAGGTGATGTACATCTAACAGTGTGTCTACATGCAGGTGAGCCGCACGTGCAGGTACGCGTAGCCCCCTCTAGCGGGGATAGAGACTGTAAGAGAGAGAGTGGAGAGCCCTTAACGCTGGGATCTGGAGGGGACACCTGCACACCGTACAATGGAACGCTGCCGGTGAAAGTTTGAACACCTGTGTCGTTATGTCACCTGTATGTAGCCGCCAAGCCAGGCAGTCCCGAACGCCAGGTACACGAGCTGGTGTGGAATGTTCACTTACAAAGTGTATTGTAAAAGTGTTTGTGAAAGTGACTGAGGACTTGCAACGTCTACTTCACAAATACTGTGTTGGTCTATCGGACACGCGGCCATGCTGCCACTCGGGAACAGGTGTGGAAGGTGTGGCATGCTCGGTGTGCGTGTCTGTTTGTGTAGGATCAATAACACACACACACACACGCACACACACACACACACGCACACAGACACACACACAGACACAGACACACAAACACAGAAACACAGAAATATACACACACAGAAACACACACACACACGCACGCACGCACGCACGCACGCACGCGCACACACACACACAGACACACAAACACACACACAGAAACACAGAAATGTACACACACAGAAACACAGAAACACACACACACACGCACGCACACAGAGGAAATACACACACACAGAGAGAAATACACACACACAGAAACACACACACACACACACACAGAAATACACACAGACAGAAACACAGAAATACACACACAGAAACACACACACGCCCACACAGAGAGAAATATACACACACAGAGAAATATACACACAGAGAAATACACACACACAGAAACACACACACACACACACACACACACACGCACACACAGAGAAATATACACACAGAGAAATACACACACACACACAGAAACACACACACACACACACACACACACACACACACAGAGAAATACACACAGACAGAAACACAGAAATACACACACAGAAACACACACACGCCCACACAGAGAGAAATATACACACACAGAGAACTATACACACAGAGAAATACACACACACACACAGAAACACACACACACACACACACACACACACACACACACACACACACACACACACACACACACACACACACACACACACGCACACACGCACACACAGAGAAATAGATACACACACACAGAAATACATACCTGCATACACACGTTATGGTTATATCATGCTTACATACAGCATCAGCTCAAATATATATCTCATCAGAACCACTTTCTGTGAAGAGAGGGAGATGGAGAGAGAAGACTATCCACCTGGCCACCCCATCAGCACCACGCTGTGTGAGGAGAGGGAGATGGAGACGGAGAGAGAAGACTATCCACCTGGCCACCCCATCAGCACCACGCTGTGTGAGGAGAGGGAGATGGAGAGAGAAGACTATCCACCTGGCCACCCCATCAGCACCACGCTGTGTGAAGAGAGGGAGATGGAGAGAGAAGACTATCCACCTGGCCACCCCATCAGCACCACGCTGTGTGAAGAGAGGGAGATGGAGAGAGAAGACTCTCCACCTGGCCACCCCATCAGCACCACGCTGTGTGAAGAGAGGGAGATGGAGAGAGAAGACTATCCACCTGGCCACCCCATCAGCACCACGCTGTGTGAAGAGAGGGAGATGGAGAGAGAAGACTATCCACCTGGCCACCCCATCAGCACCACGCTGTGTGAAGAGAGGGAGATGGAGAGAGAAGACTATCCACCTGGCCACCCCATCAGCACCACGCTGTGTGAGGAGAGGGAGATGGAGAGAGAAGACTATCCACCTGGCCACCCCATCAGGACCACGCTGTGTGAGGAGAGGGAGAGGGAGAGAGAAGACTATCCACCTGGCCACCCCATCAGCACCACGCTGTGTGAGGAGAGGGAGACGGAGAGACAAAACTATCCACCTGGCCACCCCATCAGCACCACGCTGTGTGAGGAGAGGGAGATGGAGAGAGAAGACTATCCACCTGGCCACCCCATCAGCACCACGCTGTGTGAAGAGAGGGAGATGGAGAGAGAAGACTATCCACCTGGCCACCCCATCAGCACCACGCTGTGTGAGGAGAGGGAGATGGAGAGAGAAGACTATCCACCTGGCCACCCCATCAGCACCACGCTGTGTGAAGAGAGGGAGATGGAGAGAGAAGACTATCCACCTGGCCACCCCATCAGCACCACGCTGTGTGAGGAGAGGGAGATGGAGAGAGAAGACTATCCACCTGGCCACCCCATCAGCACCACGCTGTGTGAAGAGAGGGAGATGGAGAGAGAAGACTATCCACCTGGCCACCCCATCAGCACCACGCTGTGTGAAGAGAGGGAGATGGAGAGAGAAGACTATCCACCTGGCCACCCCATCAGCACCACGCTGTGTGAGGAGAGGGAGATGGAGAGAGAAGACTATCCACCTGGCCACCCCATCAGCACCACGCTGTGTGAGGAGAGGGAGATGGAGAGAGAAGACTATCCACCTGGCCACCCCATCAGCACCACGCTGTGTGAGGAGAGGGAGATGGAGATGGAGAGAGAAGACTATCCACCTGGCCACCCCATCAGCACCACGCTGTGTGAGGAGAGGGAGACGGAGAGAGAAGACTATCCACCTGGCCACCCCATCAGCACCACGCTGTGTGAGGAGAGGGAGATGGAGAGAGAAGACTATCCACCTGGCCACCCCATCAGCACCACGCTGTGTGAGGAGAGGGAGATGGAGAGAGAAGACTATCCACCTGGCCACCCCATCAGCACCACGCTGTGTGAAGAGCGACATGGGGCAGATAGCCACTGGGTTTCCCCACGTCCCCGACACATCTAGTACACACTCAAATGTAACATGGGCCATTGGTGTGTGCATGTCGGCATTTATTGAAAAATAGGAAAATGAACTCACCTGAACAATGTCCTTTTTTTCTGACCTTGACTCGTCTGCCGTCACACTTCTTTGCCTTTTTGAGTTCACATCTAGATAGGTAGGTTTTCCCGTCCGTCCCGCACACGGGGCGTGTGGCAACACTGCTGCAGTCCTCCTTGCAGTTAGAGGCTCGCAGGGACCTGAACAGGCTCTAGAATACACAAAACATGTGCTCTATAGTTAATGAGTGAGTGAATATGGTATTACGCCCCTTTTAGCAATATTCCAGCGGTGTGAAGTATTAAGTATGTACGGAGGAATATATGAAGTATGTCGTATGTATGGAGGAATATGTGAAGTAGGTTGTATGTACGGAGGAATATATGAAGTATGTCGTATGTATGGAGGAATATGTGAAGTAGGTTGTATGTACGGAGGAATATATGAAGTATGTCGTATGTATGGAGGAATATGTGAAGTAGGTTGTATGTATGGAGGAATATATGAAGTATGTCGTATGTATGGAGGAATATGTGAAGTAGGTTGTATGTATGGAGGAATATGTGAAGTAGGTTGTATGTATGGAGGAATATATGAAGTATGTCGTATGTATGGAGGAATATGTGAAGTAGGTTGTATGTATGGAGGGAATGTGAAGTACTGAGCATGTATGGAGGAATATGTGAAGTAGGTTGTATGTATGGAGGAATATGTGAAGTAGGTTGTATGTATGGAGGAATATATGAAGTATGTCGTATGTATGGAGGAATATGTGAAGTAGGTTGTATGTATGGAGGAATATATGAAGTATGTCGTATGTATGGAGGAATATGTGAAGTAGGTTGTATGTATGGAGGGAATGTGAAGTACTGAGCATGTATGGAGGAATATGTGAAGTAGGTTGTATGTATGGAGGAATATGTGAAGTAGGTTGTACGTATGGAGGAATATATGAAGTATGTCGTATGTATGGAGGAATATGTGAAGTAGGTTGTATGTATGGAGGGAATGTGAAGTACTGAGCATGTATGGAGGAATATATGAAGTATGTCGTATGTATGGAGGAATATGTGAAGTAGGTTGTATGTATGGAGGAATATATGAAGTATGTCGTATGTATGGAGGAATATGTGAAGTAGGTTGTATGTATGGAGGAATATGTGAAGTAGGTTGTATGTATGGAGGAATATATGAAGTATGTCGTATGTATGGAGGAATATGTGAAGTAGGTTGTATGTATGGAGGGAATGTGAAGTACTGAGCATGTATGGAGGAATATGTGAAGTAGGTTGTATGTATGGAGGAATATGTGAAGTAGGTTGTACGTATGGAGGGTATGTGAAGAACTGAGCATGTATGAGGAATACGTGAAGTAGGTTGTATGTATGTAGGGTATGTGAAGAACTGAGCATGTATGAGGAATATGTGAAGTAGGTTGTATGTAAGGAGGAATATGCGAAGTACTGAGCATGTATGGAGGAATACGTGAAGAACTGAACATGTATGAGGAATATGTGAAGTACTGAGCATGTATGGAGGAATATGTGAAGTAGGTTGTATGTATGGAGAGTATGTGAAGAACTGAGCATGTATGAGGAATATGTGAAGTAGGTTGTATGTATGAGGAATATGTGAAGTACTGAGCATGTATGAGGAATATGTGAAGTACTGAGCATGTATGAGGAATATGTAAAGTGGTGAGCATGTATGGAGGAATATGTGAAGTACTGAGCACGTATGGAGGAATATGTGAAGTACTGAGCACGTATGGAGGAATATGTGAAGAACTGAGCATGTATGAGGAATATGTGAAGTACTGAGCATGTATGGGGGAATATGTGAAGTACTGAGCATGTATGAGGAATATGTGAAGTACTGAGCATGTATGGAGGAATATGTGAAGTACTGAGCATGTATGAGGAATATGTGAAGTTGGTTGTATGTATGGAGGGAATGTGAAGTACTGAGCATGTATGGAGGAATATATGAAGTATGTCGTATGTATGGAGGAATATGTGAAGTAGGTTGTATGTATGGAGGAATATATGAAGTATGTCGTATGTATGGAGGAATATGTGAAGTAGGTTGTATGTATGGAGGAATATGTGAAGTAGGTTGTATGTATGGAGGAATATATGAAGTATGTCGTATGTATGGAGGAATATGTGAAGTAGGTTGTATGTATGGAGGGAATGTGAAGTACTGAGCATGTATGCAGGAATATGTGAAGTATGTTGTATGTATGGAGGAATATGTGAAGTAGGTTGTACGTATGGAGGGTATGTGAAGAACTGAGCATGTATGAGGAATACGTGAAGTAGGTTGTATGTATGTAGGGTATGTGAAGAACTGAGCATGTATGAGGAATATGTGAAGTAGGTTGTATGTAAGGAGGAATATGCGAAGCACTGAGCATGTACGGAGGAATATGTGAAGAACTGAACATGTATGAGGAATATGTGAAGTACTGAGCATGTATGGAAGAATATGTGAAGTACTAGGCATGTATGAGAAATATGTGAAGTACTGAGCATGTATGAGGAATATGTGAAGTACTGAGCATGTATGGAGGAATATGTGAAGAACTGAGCATGTATGAGGAATATGTGCAGTACTGAGCATGTATGAGGAATATGTGAAGTAGGTTGTATGTATGGAGGAATATGTGAAGTACTGAGCATGTATGAGGAATATGTGAAGAACTGAGCATGTATGAAGGAATATGTGAAGTACTGAGTATGTATTGAGGAATATGTGAAGAACTGAGTATGTATTGAGGAATATGTGAAGAACTGAGCATGTATGGAGGAATATGTGAAGAACTGAGCATGTATGGAGGAATATGTGAAGTACTGAGCATGTATGAGGAATATGTGAAGTACTGAGCATGTATGGAGGAATATGTGAAGAACTGAGCATGTATGGAGGAATATGTGAAGTACTGAGCATGTATGAGGAATATGTGAAGTACTGAGCATGTATGGAGGAATATGTGAAGAACTGAGCGTGTATGGAGGAATATGTGAAGAACTGAGCATGTATGGAGGAATATGTGAAGAACTGAGTATGTATTGAGGAATATGTGAAGAACTGAGCATGTATGGAGGAATATGTGAAGAACTGAGCATGTATGGAGGAATATGTGAAAAATTGAGCATGTAAGGAGGAATATGTGAAGAACTGAGCATGTATGGAGGAATATGTGAAGAACTGAGCATGTATGGAGGAATTTGTGAAGTACTGAGCATGTATGAGGAATATGTGAAGTACTGAGCATGTATGGAGGAATATGTGAAGAACTGAGCATGTATGGAGGAATATGTGAAGAACTGAGCATGTATTGAGGAAAATGTGAAGAACTGAGTATGTACTGAGGAATATGTGAAGAACTGAGCATGTATGGAGGGATATGTGAAGTAGGTTTTATGTAAGGAGGAATATGTGAAGAACTAAGAATGTATTAGGAATATGTGAAGAACTGAGCATGCATTGAGGAAAATGTGAAGAACTGAGCATGTATGGAGGAATATGTGAAGAACAGAGCATGTATGGAGGGATATGTGAAGTAGGTTTTATGAAAGGAGAAGTATGTGAAGAACTAAGAATGTATGAGGAATATGTGAAGAACTGAGCATGCATTGAGGAAAATGTGAAGAACTGAGTATGTACGGAGGAATATGTGAAGACCTGAGCATGTATGGAGGGATATGTGAAGTAGGTTTTATGTAAGGAGGAATATGTGAAGAACTAAGAATGTATGAGGAATATGTGAAGAACTGAGCATGCATTGAGGAAAATGTGAAGAACTGAGCATGTATGGAGGAATATGTGAAGAACAGAGCATGTATGGAGGGATATGTGAAGTAGGTTTTATGTAAGGAGAAATATGTGAAGAACTAAGAATGTATGAGGAATATGTGAAGAACTGAGCATGTATGAGGAATATGTGAAGAACTGAGCATTTATGGAGGAATATGTGAAGAACTGAGCATGTATGGAGGAATATGTGAAGAACTCAGCATGTATGGAGGAATATGTGAAGTAAGTTGTATGTTTGAGGAATATGTGAAGAACTGAGCATGTGTGAGGAATATGTGAAGTAGGTTGTATGTATGAGGAATATGTGAAGAACTGAGCATGTATGGAGGAATATGTGAAGAACTGAGCATGTATGGAGGAATATGTGAAGTAGGTTGTATGTAAGGAGGAATATGTGAAGTAGGTTTTATGTAAGGAGGAATATGTGAAGTAGGTTGTATGTATGAGGAATATGTGAAGAACTGAGCATGCATGAGGAATATGTGAAGAACTGAGCATGTATGTAGGAATATGTGAAGAACTGAGCATGTATGGAGGAATATGTGAAGAACTGAGCATGTACTGAGGATATGTGAAGTAGGTTTTATGTATGAGGAATATGTGAAGAACTGAGCATGTATGAGGAATATGTGAAAAACTGAGAATGTATGGAGGGATATGTGAAGTAGGTTGTATGTATGGGGGGATATGTGAGGTTTGTTGTATGGAGGAATATGTAAAGTGTGATGTATGTAAGGTTGGATATGTGAAGTATGTTGTATGTGTGGAGGAATATGTAAAGTGTGATGTATGTAAGGTTGGATATGTGAAGTATGTTGTATGTGTGGAGGAATATGTGAAGTCTGCTGTATGTATGGGGGGATATGTAAAGTGTGCTGTATGTATGAAGGAATATGTGAAGTATGTTGTATGTATGGGGGATATGTAAAGTGTGCTGTATGTATGAAGGAATATGTGAAGTATGTTGTATGTATGGAGGAATATGTGAAGTCTGCTGTATGTATGGGGGGATATGTAAAGTGTGCTGTATGTATGGGGGGATATGTGAAGTATGTTGTATGTGTGGAGGAATATGTGAAGTCTGCTGTATGTATACGGGGATATGTAAAGTATGCTGTATGTATGAAGGAATATGTGAAGTATGTTGAATGTACGGGGGGATATGTAAAGTGTGCTGTATTTATGAAGGAATATGTGAAGTATGTTGTATGTATGGGGGGATATGTAAAGTGTGCTGTATGTATGAAGGGTTATGTGAAGTATGTTTTATGTGTGGAGGGATATGTGAAGTCTGCTGTATGTATTGGGGGATATGTAAAGTATGCTGTATGTATGGAGGAATATGCGAAGTATGTTGGATGTATGGAGGAATATGTAAAGGATTGAATGTGT